TAACCATGTAATAACAGAATCTGAAGCTTTTGCGTAATTATTTTATCCGTAAGTGTTGTTATCTGGTGTGTTTTCCAATTTGAATTTGCTCCCATCGGACAATATTTCGTTCATTTTTGGTTTATAGCTTTCTTTGGTCATAATAACCACCCAAGAGCTCTTGTCAGGTTTGAGAAAATTTAGTTCGGACATCGTCCGAAATTCTTGAATGGCTTTATAGTGTTCTGCTTTGAACCAAGCTTGTTGTCTGTAGGGGCAGAAAGGAAGGTGTGCGAAATGTCCACCATTTTAGCACGAAGCCAACCAGTATCATCTGCCGAGGTTGCCAAAAGATCTTTAAATTTGTCAAACGGGTTTTCGAATTCAACTATTGTTTGAATCTCGTTCACCTTCTTTTGGGGAATCTTGAAGCTCAAACCAAGTGACAGTACGTCAGGTTGTGGTTTTGTGAAGACAGTGCCGGAAAGAATGTGAATACGTCGACTTGTGCTATTTGAATCGGGAACTGCGTTATGAGGTCGACATAAGGAGCTTGTCAGTTTTGCTAGTGTTCTTGCTTTCTTTCTCGAAATTGTCATTCGTGAGAATTTCTCATGCTTCATGCGACAAAATAAATTGAGTTCACATAGAAGAGCAGCAAAACGTTGTTGTGTCTCGATGAACTTGTTCATTTGAGAAATCGCAGTTTCCAGGTGGAAATTGGTGATCGTAACTAAGTTGAATGTGTTGACTTCCAACTTCACATTCAAGAGTAATTTTGAGAACCGCATCGGAAATTCACACGAACGAATACATTCCCGATAAAATTCTACCTTTGTCCATCGCAATAGGAATATATGTTCCTCTGACACTATCCAAGAGTAGGAGGCCTTTCTGCGAAGGACGCTACTGGATAACGGCCATCCAGAGAAATTTATTGATGTGCACAGCAGACTAAAGACACTGGTTGATCTCGTCTGCAAAGTACCAAAGAAGAGCGTCTTCCTCAGACTCGCCTTTAAAGGTGATCATATAATGAGCGACGTGCGTCAAAAGCTCAAGGCGGCACTGTGCCGAACGTTTCCTGCCGCACAGCTTCCATTGATACCGTATACCCAAGGATTTTGTTTAGACAATCAAAAACAGAACCAGCCGAAAAATTCTGCTTCACATATCGTCTACCAGTTCACCTGCAGTTGCGGTGACACTTACATCGGCAGAATGACTCGGCCCCTGGCACAGCGGATGTCTGAACACATTCCCAAATGGTTGGTACAATCGATAACGCAACAAAATCTTAGAGGTCAAACCGATAAGAGAAATCCAGGGTCATCAATCGCAAAACACATCGTTGACCCACACTTGTCGTTCAAGCCATTATTACGTAACTTGAACCCCAGGATTTTGGCGTTTAGCGAGGCGATGCTAATCAAGTTACGTAACCCAATATTGTGTGCACAAAAGTATCTTACTCAATCAGTTAGACTGCCATGGACCTGATTTCCCAACCCACCCCCTCCCCTGCTTCCCTAACTATTGTTCGTTTCACCACTGTAGTTATCAAATCTTGCTTCTATAAATACCAGAATGTTTACGTTGTAACGACTGAAGAGATTTAAAGAAATGTTAACATCTCGCAGTATTAGTGTTCTTTCTGGTCTAACGAAGTCGGGGATGCTCGATCCAGCGGCTTGGAGCTGAGGTTGCGTTGTAGTGAACTGATTAGCCCTGTGATTGCTTTCAAAGTAGTCCTTGAAATGCACTGCTTTGTCTATCTCATGGATCACTACGTCTCCTTCGCTCAATATCGGAGGCTCTAACTTTCCATTGAGCCCTCCCTTAGGTTGGACGTATCGGTAGTCCTTTTTGGGCTGGTATTTAGCACTATTTGCCAGCTTGAGCTCATATTGTAGTTTGAGCCCCCGCTGAACTGCCACTGCTTCATTTTTATCCCTTGTGTACTGCGCCCAGGATCTGGGGCTGTCCCTTGACCTGTCGGTGTGTCAGCTTCTATTTCTAAGCTGTAGCGCTCTCTTAATCGCCGGGCTCCACCAATGTGGTTTGCTCTTCGCTGCCCTGGGTTTCAGGGGAGCGAATTCATCCTGCAGAAGCCTAAATCTGGCACCAATGCTTGTCTATAGAGTCGCTTTCGTGACCAGGGGACCACACCAGCTCTGGAGCCCTGACCTTTAGGCTTGTCACGTCTATCTCCCAGTAGTTCCTGGACATGCTTACATTGCCCCTACGATGTATCAGACTTATTTCTATTGTGATCACGACGTGGTTACTTTTACCCAGAGGTGGATGGAGGGTAAGGTTTGACAAATCCATCTCCCTCGTTGTAATAATAAGGT